ATTTACCTGTGTATATTTCTATTCATATAATTTATATTATATATATAAATATATTTAATATATAAACTTAACATCTTTCTCTTAAATTACACATGCATGTGTGTGTATTTATATATACATAATAAATATACACAGTACACACTGATATTATGTAAACAAAAACTTTTATTGTGGATGCGATTAATCGCGATTAATCGTTTGACAGCCCTAGTAAAAACAAACAAGGTGGGACTTGTTCCGCCATATTGCGCATTACAGTTTCTCCCATCATAGCCCTACGTGTGATCCAACTTAGTATATGCAGTCTTTAGTAATAGTGAAGGGTTTCAAGTGCATCATTTTGGTGACACACTATTGTTCAATTGGTGTTGTTGACAGTGACTTGGTAGTGATTATCAATTATATTTTTATTTCAGAGCAGCTTGCAGAGCCAAAGAAGTTGTCTAAGGTCAGATATGTGTCTAAAACAGCCAAACTTTAAGTCCTGCAATTCAGCCCACATTCATGTTGTGAAAATATATAGATAGATTCATTTCATATCTTATCTAATTTGTCTATATATCTGGCCTGTGAACCTTCAAACTTCAAGATTTTTATAACCTTTTTTCAAAAACAAAGCTTTGTCAAGTGAAGGTTTATGTTTGTCTAATTCTACTTCCAATTCGAGTTGCAATTCTATATCCTGTTTGATACCTCATTTCAAATTTAGAAATTGAAGTGAAATTTAAGACATTGTTAGGTGAGAAAACCTGGTATAAAAACCTGGTATATATGCAATCTTGAACAACATCAAATATAAGTGTGCTGTTTTTTAACCAATTTAGCACAGGTGGAGAACATTCAGATCAACTCAATTAGCACGATAGTAAGTGTATATATATATACAGCCTACTTACCTTTGTCCCATGACAGTTTTCTGGCAACCTTCCGCCACTCCAACTCCTCACTCTGAACTATTCCTTTCCCAGCTAGGGATATGAGGAGTCCTCTGCGTTCGGACTAAAATCCGAGCTCAGAGCCCTCCCCTCGGACAACACACCAAATATGCACACTACTTGCTCAATCTGATTATATGTAAGTGTGAACTTGTGAGAGTCCTTTTATGTGGCCTGCTGGAAGGTGTTATGTGATTAGTGGTATGGACATAATGCTTATTCTAAGCGTATGCAAATGTTTGTGTCTTCCAGCAAAACTGAAGGAAAATATATAAATTAAAGATGATTCTAAGAATCAGCATCACGTCTAATGTACATGTAAGAAACATATGCTGGCGTTAACTGAGTTCTTTGACAGCAGACACCATACTGCAAAAAGATAAGGTTAATTATGTAGGCCCCGGTGAAGAGTGCGCAGGGCATTCTTTACAGAGAGAACAAGATGTGTGTACAACAATCAAAACAATCTTACGTAATGTCTGCAACTCATTTCCCAAGCCTCTAACTACTTGATCCTTTTGCCTTGATGTCTAATAGAGGTCTTTTGGGTTGAATATGATACAGACTTAATGAGAAAGGCCTCCTCACCTTCTCACTTTCCAATGAGTAATTGAGCTTCATGGTTAGAAGCTGGTGTGGCTGATTGCAGCCCATATGCTTCATCTCGACTCATTTTGTATGTGTGCCTTACGCTTGAACTCGGTTCCTAATAAATGATACCTTCTCATTCACACTTTGCAGATGATGGTAAGTTCTCAGATGTTCTCTTTCATTTTCTGCAGTCTCACCAGATTTCCTCGAGCCTCAAATGTGTCACAGCAGCCAGATACTGAATCTATCATGTTTTATCATTGGCGCACTGCGCGTCTTAAATTGAAGACAGGAGAAAAGCACTTTTGTTTCTCACCCCACACCCATTTAATCGCTTAAATTCTATTGTCAGTGAAAATATGCTAATTGGGCCCTCTGTTTGCGTGAGACAGTATTAAAAAGAAAAGCAATTTTTCCATTATCCAGAAGGAATAAATTGCTTGGGTCTGATAAATGAGCTTATCCTTAATCCTAATTATGTCAAAGGCAGGATTTACAACCTTTTTCATAAACAAGTAGGGAACACCACAGAAGACTTGACAAAGTAACGTGAATAGCATTTAGGCCCAGCTTACATTTAAAACACCTGAAACTGATGCAGAAACTTGGTTGAGCTGAACCCTGGCAGGTTTGTTCAACAAAACATAACAAATGACAAAATGTTTTATCAGGCATGTGATAACTTTACCTAGAAGTGTGATGTATAATATATGGATCCATGAGAATATGAAAATCTTGAACGGCTCATGTTTGAGAATTATTGTAGTGATGCTGTGACAGTGACTGGCATGTTGTTTCCTGCAGTGTTTGCCAGCAGGTAATCTCTATCGCACTGAAAGTGCAGTGGATTATAAATAACCCACTGTTGTTCTGAATCAGCCCGAGAGCTCTAATCTTGTCATTGCTCTCTCCAGCTCAAAGTGGCTGCGAAGCCGGCTGTGCTGCTCTTAGTGGTAGAGATTGCCCAGCAACATGGTTTCAGTGCTTGAGTTTAAATATTGTGCCAGCCAAGGAAGATGAACCATAAAGTTTAAAATAGTTATTTTGCTCTTATTTTCATCCAGTTCTCAGAAGTGCCTTACGTTATTAACTTCGACTATAGGAAGTGATGGATTTTGTTGTATGGATTTGTTGTACTGATTCTGTTGCATTGCTACAGCATGTTTTTGTAGTCTAAATATTCTTGCATGACATTAGCTGCTCAAATGTACAAGTTCTGGATGCAGTGTTCACCCTTTCCCTACATTGAACAGGCTGTTACCTTGAAATCCCCTGCAACATGATCAAATACAGATAACACTTGAGTCATGCAGATAACGAGGATTTCAGGTATGATGATATACTCAAATAATTATACATATAATATTAATTACGTTTAGTATATAAAATGTGCATCCATGTGTATTGGGATGTTATGGTGTATTGGAAGCCTGTCTGAAACCTTCATTTCCTTATGAGAGAACTGGGCAGCAACTGTCTTCGGCTTTGGGCGCAGCAGATGGTCTCTCTGTCAATGTCGGCCAGTAAAGTTTATCTACCATACTCTAAATCAGTGGTTGTCAACCAGGAGGCCTCGGCAGACTTCCAAGGTGGGCACAAGATGACTTCAAATTTTGTTAAAGGGGTCATATGTTGTTGCTAAAAAGAACATTATTTGGTGTATTTGGTGTAATGCAATGTGTTTATGCGGTTTAAGGTTAAAAAAACACATTATTTTCCACATACTGTACATTATTGTTTCTCCTCTATGCCCCGCCTTTCTGAAATGCGTCGATTTTTACAAAGCTCATCGGTCTGAAAAACAAGGTGTGCTGTGATTGGCCAGCTATCCAGTGCGTTGTGATTGGCCGAATACCTCAAGCGTGTGACGGAAATGTTACACCTCTTACCATACTGTGATAATGCCCTGTCAGGCCGGAGCGATGATTCAAAAACATGAAAACCCATTATAACCGAAGCATTCGTTGCATCCAGTGGGGACATAATTATGGATTATAATGACTTATACTGTCTTTTTATGCGTTGCATTGCATCGCGCCGCGTAAACATAAAACCATGTCTGCATTTGTGATCG